AACTCTAAAATAAAAGCTAACATCTGCTCCAATTTTGAAATTTCCAGATTTCTCTAAGCCCTTCTATCTGACAACTGATGCTAGTTCAATTGGCATAGGCGCCATACTAGCTCAGAAGACCGATGGCAAGTACAACGCAGTTGCATTTGCTAGCCGAGTCCTTACAAAGGCTGAACGTAATTATACAGTAACTGAGCAAGAAGCTTTAGTAATAGTATGGTCTTTAAAGCACTTCCGAGACATTATTTATCAGTACTCTGTTCATGTCTTGACAGACCATGCTCCACTGATACCTTTATTCCAGAACAAACAACCCACTGGAAGGTTAGCCAGATGGACCTTGACTATCCAAGAGTTCAATCCCACCGCTGCCACCATTTATCATGTGGGGTTCGAACACGTGGATAGGGTAAAGAAATACTCACGTAGGCTGGTAGTACGTATATTACGGATAGTGTGGGAAGAGCGCCAAACAGCTGTGACCTGCCTCCTTGCTCTCACTCGTAAGACTGACTAACCCACAGTGCCCATATGTGAGGGGGGTTTGAAATACTGCTGTGGTCAGCAACAATATGAATACAGACAGTGATTCACGCAGAGACAGTTGGTACTGAGTCATCTACTGGTACACTGGTTACTGGTAACTGGTTACCAGGAACTGGTACTACTACTGAGAATAGGTAATACGTATTTTAAAAAAGAGAGGATAAATAAGTATACAAGATATGATGTAGGGCAAAATGACAGTAGTTTGTTGGACTATGTACACGTATTGGTAGATAAAAGACTGCTGAGTAGACTTCAGGATGTACATGTTTATAGAGGGGCCACAGATATATCAGATCACTTTCTAGTTGTAGCTACAGTGAGGGTAAAAGGTAGATGGGATACAAGAAAAATAGAAGCAGCAAGTAAGAGAGAGGTGAAGGTGAATAAACTAAAAGAGGAGGCAGTTAAGGTAAGATATAAACGACTATTGGAGGATAGATTGGCTAGTGAGAGTATAGGCAATGGGGTTGAAGATGTATGGGGTAGGTTTAAGAATGTAGTGTTAGAGTGTTCAGCAGAAGTTTGTGGTTACAGGAAAGTAGGTGTGGGAGGAAAAAAGAGCGATTGGTGGAATGATGTAAAGTAAAAGGACACAAGTGCAACTAATGTGACATTTTATTGTGGCAACGTTTTGCTCTCCAGGAGCTTTATCAAGCCATGTAAAGCTTGATAAAGCTCCTGGAGAGCAAAACGTTGCCACAATAAAATGTCACATTAGTTGCACTTGTGTCCTTTTACTTTACATATTGTCGGTAATTCTACCAACTTTATTGGTGGAATGATGATGTAAAGAGAGTAGTAAGGGAGAAAAAGTTAGCATACGAGAGGGTTTTACAAAGTAGAAGTGATGCAAGGAGGGAAGAGTACATTGAGAAAAAAAAAAGAGAGGTTAAGAGAGTGGTGAAACAATCTAAAAAGAGAGCAAATAAGAGAGTGGGTGAGATGTCATCAACAAATTTTGTTGAAGATAAGAAAAAGTTTTGGAGTGAGATTAATAAGTTGAGGAAGCCTAGGAAACACATGGATTTGACAGTTAAAAATAGAAGAGGAGAGTTATTAAATGGAGAGTTAGAGGTATTGTGAAGATGGAGGGAATATTTTGAGGAATTGTTAAATGTTGATGAAGATAGGGAAGCTGTGATTTCGTGTATTGGGCAAGGAGGAATAACATCTTGTAGGAGTGAGGATGAGCCAGTTGTGAGTGTGGGGGGAGTTCGTGAAGCAGTGGGTAGAATGAACGGGAATAAGGCAGCTAGGATTGATGGGATAAAAACAGAAATGTTAAAAGCAGGTGGGGATAAAGTTTTGGAGTGTTTGGTGTTATTATTTAATAAATGTATGGAAGAGGGTAAGGTACCTAGGGATTGGCAGAGAGCATGAATAGTTCCTTTGTATAAAGGCAAAGGGGATAAAAAAAAAAAAAAAAAAAAAAAAAAAAAAAAAGAGTGCAAAAACTATAGGGGAAAAAGTCTGTTGAGTATACCTGGTAAAGTATATGGTAGAGTTATTATTGAAAGAATTAAGAGTAAGACAGAGAGTAGGATAGCAGATGAACAAGGAGGCTTTAGGAAAGGTAGGGGGTGTGTAGACCAAGTGTTTACAGTGAAACATACAGGTGAACAGTATTTAGATAAGTGTAAAGAGGTTTTTGTGGCATTAATGGATTTGGAAAAGGCATATGACAGCAGGGTAGATAGGCAGGCAATGTGGCAGATGTTGCAGGTATATGGTATAGGAGGTAGGTTACTGAAAGCAGTGAAGAGTTTTTACAAGGATAGTGAGGCTCAGGTTAGAGTATGTAGGAGAGAGGGAGATTATTTCCCAGTAAAAGTAGGCCTTAGACAAGGATGTGTGATCTCACTGTGGTTGTTCAACATATTTATAGATGGGGCTGCAAGAGAAGTGAATGCGAGGGTCTTGGCAAGAGGTGTGGAATTAAAAGATAAAGAATCACACACAAAGTGGGAGTTGTCACAGTTGCTCTTTACTGATGACACTGTGCTTTTGGGAGATTCTGAAGAGAAGTTGCAGACGTTGGTGGATGAATTTGGTAGGATATGTAAAGCACCCTTCTGGCAAGACAGTGATGGAGTGAATGATGGTGAAAGTTTTTCTTTTTCGGGCCACCCTGCCTTGGTGGGAATCGGCCGGTGTGATAATATATATAAAAATAATGTAAGAGAAGAAAATTAAAAGTGAATATAGGAAAGAGTAAGGTTATGAGGATAACAAAAAGATTAGGTGGTGAAAGATTGGATATCAAATTGGAGGGAGAGACTGTGGAGGAGATGAATGTTTTCAGATATTTAGGAGTGGACGTGTCAGCAGATGGGTCTATGAAGGAGGTGAATCATTGAATTGATGAGGGGTAAAGGGTGAGTGGTGTACTCAGGAGTCTATGGAGACAAAGCACTTTGTCTGTGGAAGCAAAGAGGGGCATGTATGAGAGTATAGTTGTGCCAACACTCTTGTATGGGTGTGAAGCATGGGTAAGGAATGTTGCAGCGAGGAGAAGGCTGGAGGCAGTGGAGATGTCATGTCTGAGGGCAATGTGCGGTGTGAATATAATGCAGAGAATTCATAGTTTGGAAATTAGGAGGTGTGGGATTACCAAAACTATTGTCCAGAGGGCTGAGGGGGGGTTGTTCAGGTGGTTCGGACATGTAGAGAGAATGGAACAAAACAGAATCACTTCGAGTGTATAAATCTGTAGTGGAGGGTAGGCGGGATAGGGGTTGGCCTAGAAAGGGTTGGAGGGAGGGGGTAAAGGAGGTTTTGTGTGCGAGGGGCTTAGACTTCCAGCAAGCGTGTGTGAGTGTATTTGACAGGAGTGAATGGAGACGAATGGTTTTTAACCCTTAAACGTCCAAACGTATATATACGTTTTTTCAACATCTGAAAGTATGTAAAAAAATGTACACCTTCTTTTTTGTTTTACATTTGAAAACGTGTAAAAAAACTTTTATCAACATTTTTTTTTGTTATATTTGAAAATATGTAAAAAAAAGTAGATCTATTTTTGTAGCACTACGAATTTGAACGTCAATCTGTTTGGACCGTTTAAGGGCTAATACTTGACGTGCTGTTGGAGTGTGAGCAAAGTAACATTTATGAAGGGATTCAGGGAAACTGGCAGGCTGGACTTGAGTCCTGGAAATGGGAAGTACAGTGCCTGCACTCTGAAGGAGGGGTGTTAATGTTGCAGTTTTATAACTGTAGCATATAGCACCCCTCTGGCAAGACAGTGATGGAGTGAATGATGATGAAAGTTTTTCTTTTTCGGGCCACCCTGCCTTGGTGAGTATCGGCCGATGTGTTAATAAAAAATAATAAATGCTTATTGTCAGAGACTCTCAAATTAGATATATGAACAAATCATTTTGTTCAAGGGCAGGAGCACAATATAGAGGGTGTTTTCCCAGAGCTCATATGGATGTTAATGTTAACAGTGTGAACAATCCCATTATCTGCTATGGTGATAGAGATGATGATTTTGATAAACACAGAAGAGAGAACCTTCTTGCCAAAACTTGTATAAAATCAAAGTCAAAAACCAAAAACAAGAACCAAAAGAAAATTCAAATTTGATGTTACTATGCCTAGGACATTTGCACATAAGGAAAACCTTGTAAAATGAATGAGCATATAAATACGACCTTCCAAAAAACTGACAGTCGTCTAAATAAAGGTATGTGATATTCCAACACTTGCAAATATTTTCACCTAAAATGCTTTATACAGTAGTTCCATAAATAAGAAACAATGCTGCCACAAACTGTTCAGCATTCCAAAGGAAAACAATTACAACCATACAAACAGCTTCATATCAAGGAATATAAGTAATAGAAATCCCAAGGTTATACTACAACTTTGATAAGGCCCCATTTAGATTCTACTGGCCAGTTCTGATAAACATGTTACTGAGTGGACATGAATGCACTGAAGAACAGTCAGAAGCACATGAGAAAGTTGATCCCTGTATAAGAAACCTGTCCTGAAAAAATTGGCTGAAGACAATGAATTTGTACTCTGGAAATGTATTGAATTAAGGGGGATATGAACGAAATATATAAATGTATATACTTTGTATCATGAATTCAGGATGGACAATTTTTTATTTAGAAAGGCTATAGGAAAGCAATGGTTTGGCAAGAGAGTTGTAGATGAGATGAATGAACTCTCAGGTAACATCACTGTGTCAATAACTTTTGAGTAGCTTTAAAAATAGATTGGACAGGTACATGAGTGGGTGTGGTTGAGTGTGACTTGGACCTGCCTAGCATGGGCCAGCAGGCCTACCACAGTGCTTCACTATTCTTATGTTCTTAAAATGGATAATACTATTACTATGCATATATTGAAAACAATTACAACTATACAGTGCTCAGTGAAGACAATTAAATGTATCAAAAGAAAATATATACAGTGATAAACTAGTTTAAGTGATTTACCTTAGAAACAGGTGGCTTTCCTGTTCCAAGTGAAACTATGATAGATGGCTTAACTGCTTCATCTGCTCTCCCAAGAGCACTTAAGACCATGTTGTACTCAGATATTTCTGTCAGCACATCTAAAGTTGGATTGTTGGAGATCAATCCACCATCAATGAATCGTCCATAAGCTCTGTTGGATAAAATGTAGACGTAGATGAAGAAACAGTTAACTTAAATATTTATACTGTTTCTTGATTTATTTTTCGATGAACCGGCTGTATCCCACCAAGGAAGGGGTGCTCCAAAAAGAAAAATGAAAGTTTCTCTTTTTAAATTTAGTAATGCACACAGGAGAAGGGGTTACTAGCCCCTTGCCCCTGGCATTTTAATCGCCTCTTACGACATGCATGGCTTACAGAGGAAGAATTCTGTTCTACTTCCCCATGGATGTAATATTTAATATAAGAAAACATATAAACAAACAAAGAAATAAAGACACACACATTTTTTTTACACACTAGATATCTCCCACTGAAGTAGGGTGACCCAAAAAAACTTTCACCGTCATTCACCACCACTATCTTGTCAGAGGCATGTAGATACTGCAGTTCAGATGCATCTCCAGACTGCAAATATCCCCACCCCCTTCTTCAGAGTGCAGGTATATAATACAGCACTGTACTGATAAATTGTTAAATACAATTCATGTGCAACATCTAGGTATCTTTGAGAGATACTTCAACTTCACAGTGGGTGTAACACCTACAGTAATTAATACAATGAGAGTAATCATAGGTTGGGTGACAGTCACAGGAGGATGTGTTGTATTATATGCTTACAATATATAAAATGGTTATAACATGTCTCCATATATGAAAAAACAGATCTAGGCTTTTAGGATACTATAAAAAGTGGTTAACAGAGCAATGAGTATGAAGACATGTCAATGCTGCTTCTGTAGCAGGACAAAATTAAACTCCAGACAAGATCTTGCTTCCTTCTTAAGAGGAATAATGTTTAGTGCTTAGTTTTGATTATAATAATAATTAAGAGGAGAGCAGAGGACATTATAGAATGCAATGTGGGTAATAATCACTGAAAATTTAATTAAAAAAATTAATGCATGGCCATTTCCCACCACGGCTGAATATTCAGACCTAATAATGGAAAACACATTCACCATTACATTATTCGTTCACTAGTTTCTTTCTTTTTTCAACAAGTCAGCCATATCCCACCGACACAGGGTGGCCAAAAAGAAAAAAGAAAAGTTTCTCCTTTTAAATTTAGTAACATATACAGGAGAAGGGGTTACTAGCCCCTTGCTCCTGGCATTTTAGTCACCTCTTACGTCACACATGGTTTACAGAGGAAGAATTCCATTCCACTTCCCCATGGAGTCATTCCCTAGCTGTCATTTCCAAATAACATGGACATCAAAATTCAAATAAGCCACCAAAACTCAACATCCCTTCCACAAACCATACATGATGAAGTATGTGACACTATAAGAATAACTCTGCACTTTTAACTACAAATAGGTACAGAAATTACACAAATACCTGAAATAAGATGGAGCAGCCCCTGATGCTCTGGCAGCATGCCACACCAGCTGCTGATTTGAAGGTCTGGTGGGAGCGAAGGCACTTCCTCCATACGACTGAAGTAACTGCTCTCCACTTATATAATTACGGAAGAGATGAAGGTCTGCTGGTGAACGATCTGCCAGAACACCTGTGACTAGTACCCTGAAATATTGTAAAAGAAAAATTAAACAACACGAACTGAAAACTGCTCCATACTTAATTTCCAAATGTAGGATATCATAAATACCAGATATGAAAGAGAGAGGAAAGTCTCTCCTATATTACTTCAATGTTTACTTTTAAAAATTACTGTTCTTCCAAAATTTTGCTTCCTTTTCCCTTACTTGTCCTTTATTATTTAGGAGACAGACCCTTAGGTAATACGATGCCGATAACATATATTTCCTTTGTTACAGTAGTTTGTACGTTTGCATCTGAGAACATGTCCTCTTAAATGTATTGAGTGAGAAAATGTGTTGAGTTTAATCAAGTCAATATCTCTAAGCATATCTGTATACTGTACAGGGGCAGGAACTCATACATATGGCTGTGTGCTAATAACTGGCCCTCTGTTTTCCAAAACCTGTACTCACTGGCTCCTTTACCTGCTGTCTCCCATATGTATTTACTGTCCCATGAATAAAAAAAGTTTTAGTCTCAGTGATGGCCCATCATCTCTGCATAATGCCTAACCCATTTTCTTCTGTAAATATTGTGAATGTAAGAAAATAGACTTTGCTTGGTTGTTTCAAATGTCACTGTGTGTTTACAATGTCTCATGTTTAGGTGTTATTTCCTAAGTGAATTTCATCATCTTAATCTTTTCAAATCATCACTGATATTACTTCCTCCATTTTAATTTGGTACTACTATACTATACTGTAATACACTTGGCAATTATGATATTTGGAACACCTTCTTTCAACAAACTGGCTGTATCCCACTGAGGCAGTGTGGCTCAAAAACAAAAGCAAAAGTTAATCACCTCTTACAACACACATGGCTTACAGAGGAAGAATTCTGTTCCACTTCCTCATGGAGATAAGAGGAAATAAACTAGAACTAGCAAGAAAATGGAAGAAAACCCAGAGGGGTGTGTATATACACATGTATATGCTGGTACAGGTAGTAGGTTGATAGACAGCAACCACCCAGGGAGGTATGCACTACAGTCCTGCCAAGTGAATGTAAAATGAGAGCCTGTAATTATTTTATATGATGGTAGGATTGCTGGTGTCTTTTGTGTCTCATAAATATGTAAGATTACAGGTACGTCTTGCTACTTCTACTTACACTTAGGTCACACTACACATACATGTACACGTTTATTTATACACATTCATCTGAGTTTTCTTTGATTTTATCTTAATAGTTCTTATTCTCATTACTTTACCTTTTATATCCATGGGGAAGTGGAATAAGAATCTTTCCTTCGTAAGCCATGCGTGTTGCAAAAGTCAACTAAAATGCCAGGAACAATGGGCTAGTAACCCCTTTTCCTGTACAAATTAATAAACAAAAGAAGAAAATTGTCAAAGTGGGATGTCTGAATGTGCGTGGATGTTGTGCGAATGATAATAAAGAAATAATTGTGGATGCTATGAATGAGAAGAAGCTGGATGTCCTGGCTTTAAGTGAAAAAAAGCTAAAGGGGGTGGGAGAGTTTCAGTGGAGAGAAGTAAATGGGATTAGGTCAGGGGTTTCAAAAAGAGTTAGAGCTAAAGGAGGAGTAGCAATAATGCTGAAGGGTAAGTTATGGCAGGAAAAGAGGGACTATAAATGTATTAATTCAAGGATTATGTGGAGTAACATAAAGGTTAGTTGTGAAAAGCGGGTTACAGTAAGCATATATGCACTTAGAGAAGAGAGAAGTGTAGAGAAGAGAGAAAGAGATTTTGGGAAATGTTGAGTGAATGCGTGGGGAGTTTTGAACCAAGTGTGAGAGTACTTGTGGTTGGGGATTTCAATGCTAAAGTGGGTAAAAATGTTGTGGAGTGAGTAGTAAGTAAATCTGGGGTGCCAGGGGTAAATGAAAATGGGGAGCCTTTAACTGAGCTATGTGTAGAGAAATTTGGTAATAAATAATACTTATTTTATGAAAAAGAGGATAAATAAATATACAAGGTATGATATAGCACGTAATGAAAGTAGTTTGTTAGATTATGTATTGGTGGATAAAAGGTTGATGGGCAGGCTCCAGGATGTACACATTTATAGAGGGGCAACTGATATATCAAATCATTATTTAGTAGTAGCTACAGTTAGAGTAAGAGATAGATGGGACAAGAGGAAAATGGCAACAACAAGTAAAAGGGAGGTGAAAGTGTATAAACTAAGGGAGGAGGAAGTTTGGGTGAGATATAAGCAACTATTGGCAGAAAGGTGGGCTGGTGCAAGTATGAGTAGTGAGGAAATTGAAGAGGGTTGGAATAGTTTTAAAAATGCAGTATTAGAATGTGAGGTAGAAGTTTGTGGTTATAGGAGGGTGGGTGCAGGAGGAAAGAGGAGTGATTGGTGGAATGATGAAGTAAAGGGTGTGATAAAAGAGAAAAAGGTAGCTCATGAGAGGTTTTTACAAAGCAGAAGTGTCATAAGAAGAGTAGAGTATATGGAGAGTAAAAGAAAGGTGAAGAGAGTGGTGAGAGAGTGCAAAAGGAGAGCAGATGATAGAGTGGGAGAGGCACTGTCAAGAAATTTTAATGAAAATAAGAAAAAAATTTTGAGTTAAACAAGTTAAGAAAGACTAGGGAATGAATGGATTTGTCAATTTAAAACAGAGTAGGGGAGTTAGTAGATGGGGAGATGGAGGTATTGGGTAGATAGCAAGAATATACTATTGACTTTTAAATGTCGACGAAGAAAGGGAGGTGATAATTTCATGCACTGGCCAGGGAGGTATACCATCTTTTAGGAATGAAGAAGCAGCAGGATGTGAGTGTAGGGGAGGTACGTGAGGCATTACATAGAATGAAAGGGGGTAAAGCAGCTGGAACTGACGGGATCATGACAGAAATGTTAAAAGCAGGGGAAGGGGGATACAGTGTTGGAGTGGTTGATATTTTTGTTTAATAAATGTATGAAAGAGGGGAAGGTACCTAGGGGTTGGCAGAGAGCATGTATAGTCCCTTTATATAAAGGGAAGGGGGACAAAAGAGACTGTAAAAATTATAGAGGAATAAGTTTACTGAGTATACCAGGAAAAGTGTACGGTAGGGTTATAATTGAAAGAATTAGAGGTAAGAGAGAATGTAGGATTGCGGATGAGCAAGGAGGTTTCAGAGTGGGTAGGGGATGTGTAGATCAAGTGTTTACATTGAAGCATATATGTGAACAGTATTTAGATAAAGGTAGAGAAGTTTTTATTGCTGTTTCTATGAGAAACAGCAGAGGTGCCAGGATAGTGCCTTGGGGCACTGAGCTTTTGACCTCAGTGATGCTGGATCTTGCCCTGTTCACTACTACTTTCTGTGTTGTGTGTGTTAGGAAACCGAAAATCCATCTGCCTACCTTCCCCATAATGCCCATGACCTTCATTCTGTGCGCTATCACTCCACGATTGCATTTGTCAAACGTGTTTGCAAAATCTGTGTAAATCACATCTGCATTTTGGTCATCTTCCACTGCCTCTGTAATTCTGTCATCTAGGTTCAGTAGCTGTGACAGACATGATCGTCCTGCTCTAAAATCATGCTGGTTCGGGTTATGTTGGTTGTGCTGGTCCATGAAATTTGTAATCTGCCATCTCATGACTCTTTCTAAGATTTTTATGATGTGAGAGGTTAGGGCTACTGGTCTGTAATTTTTAGCTAGTGCTCTATTACCTCCTTTATGCAAAGGAGCTATGTCTGCACTCTTTAAGGCCTCCAGTATTTCATCTAGACCAGACTTTGCAAAAGCATTTGACAAATGCGATCATGGTGTAATAGCCCATAAAATACATGTTAAAGGAATAACTGGGAAAGTGGGGAAATGGATCTTCAACTTCCTAACAAATCGAGCACAAAGAGTAGTGGTCAACAGAGTTAAATCGGAGGCTGCAATAGTGAAGAGCTCTGTTCCACAAGGCACAGTACTCGCCCCCATCTTATTCCTCATCCTCATATCAGACATAGACAGAGATATACATAACAGCACCGTATCATCCTTTGCGGATGATACTAGGATCTGCATGTGGCTGTCATCTGCTGAGGATGCGGTTAACCTCCAAGAAGATATAAACAAAGTTTTCCAGTGGGCAACGGTAAACAATATGATGTTCAATGAGGACAAACTACTCCGTTATGGAAAACTGGAGGAGATAATAACTAGAACAGAGTATACTACAGACTCTGGCCATACAACGGAGTGAAAAAATAATGTAAGGGACCTGGGAGTAGTAATGTCTGAGGATCTCACTTTCAAGGATCACAACAGTGCCACGATCGCACGTGCAAAGAAAATGATAGGATGGATAATGAGAACGTTCAAAACGAGAGATGCCAAGCCCATGATGATCCTTTCCAAATCACTTGTTCTCTCTTGGCTGGAATACTGCTGTACATTAACATCTCCATTCAAAGCAGGTGAAATCGCAGATCTAGAGAGTGTACAGAGATCCTTTACTGCACGTATAAGTTCTGTCAAGCACCTTAACTACTGGGAACGCTTGGAAGCACTTGACTTGTACTCGTTGGAATGCAGGAGGGAGAGATATATCATAATCTACACTTGGAAAATCCTGGAAGGAATGGTCCCAAATCTGCACACAGAAATCACTCCCTACGAAAGTAAAAGACTGGGCAGGCAATGCAAAATGCCCCCAATTAAAAGTAGGGGGTGCCATTGGTACACTAAGGGAAAACACCATAAGTGTCCAGGGCCCAAGACTGTTCAACAGCCTCCCATCAAGCATTAGGGGAATTGCCAATAAACCCCTGGCTGCCTTCAAGAGAGAGCTGGACAGATACCTAAAGTCAGTGCCGGATCAGCCGGGCTGTGGCTCGTACGTTGGACTGCGTGCGGCCAGCAGTAACAGCCTAGTTGATCAGGCCCTGATCCATCGGGAGGCCTGGTCATGGACATGGCCGCAGGGGCGTTGATCCCTGGAATAACCTCCAGGTAACCTCCAGGTAACCAGGTAAGCTTTTTCTCCAAAGAATACTGAGGGCTTGTGTTAGTGGTAC